CCTGTGTTCATCGCAGTTCTATTTACAATAGCCCAAACATGGAACCAACCTAAATGTCCATTGATGGAAGACTGGATAAGGAAAATGGTATATATGCACAATGGAATACTACTCAGCCATAAAAAAGAATGAAATTCTGCCATTTTCAGCAACATAGTTGAGCCTGGAGAAAATTATGTTAAGTGAAATAAACCAGCAACAGAAAGAGGAATGCCACATGTCCTCACTCTTAACTGGGTGCTAAGAGAGAAGGAAGGAAAGAAAGAAAGATAGGTAGTAAGAAAGAAAGAAAGAAAGTAGAAAGATAGAAAGGACAAACCACAATAATATGTTGAATTTTAGTACAGAAAAAACCTAAGTATACTAGAGATGGGGGTGTGGGGTGAGGAGTGTTGGAGAATGATAGCTTGGGTAAAGGGTATAAAGAAAAATTATGATTTGTAATAATGAATATGCTCATAATAATTTAAAAGTTCTGTTTTAACTGGCATACACTAGAACTGCTCCAGCAGGAGAAGGCTGTAGGCACTGCCTAGTTACTGCCAGTTGGGGTAGAAGTTCAGGTTCCCCACTCAACCTTCATTGACACCAGGGGAGAGGGACTCTTCATTATTGCTAGGATGGGAATGTGAATTCCTCTCTAGGCTTCTGTGAATACCAGCCTGCCTAGGAGGGCAATAGTGCCTTGTTTCTGTTCTCCATGTGGCCTCCACTGAAATGGGGGGCTGGCCTCCATACCACTAGGTGGTGGTGAAATTCTTAATTCTTCACTAGGTCTCCTCTGATGTCCCCAGCAAGTAGAGGGAGGACCATCTCATCATCACCTGATGAGGATGAAAGTCCTGGATCCCTACTGGCCCTTGTCATACGTCACTCATGCAGTGGAGTTGAGGTGTATCCTACAACCTGGCAAAGGTGGAATCCAGGCTTCTCAATCAGCTTTTGCAGGCTAGGGTGGGATTGGGTGTCACAAGTTTTCTGGTTTCTTTTTTTTGCTGGAGTAGGGCAATTATTGTCTTATTATTATTATTTTTTTTAAATCTTGATAGGCTGCCCTTTTCCTGGTCTTATGGAAAGACAAAGAAGGCTTTTGTTGGAGCTGCTATGGCATGTACCTATCAGCATTTCCAGGTTGCCATCTTCTCCAGTACCATGTCTGGTATATATATATAAGCCAAAAAATGAAAATAAAAGCGAAAGTATTCAACACAGTATCATTCCTCAAATTCCACAATTCATAGCTGATCTGTCTTTTCTCTACACCTTTCATAGTCTTCTTAACTTTTTTTTATATATAACAGCCAAGGATTTAAGTTGTACTTATTGGCAGGAATAGGGGAAATATGCCTAGTTTATCTTCCCAGAAGTGAAAATCTTGAGAAAATCATTGTATCAGAGGAGGAAGAAAGCAATCATGATACGAAAGAATATCAAAGTCTGAGAACTTTCTCTACTTAATAACCTGGCCTTGTGTAAGCCATTTTCTTACTAGAGCAAATATGTTACTGGGGATGATGATAATGAGGATAATGTTGTCGATGATGATAATAACTATTCTGTGCTGAGTGTTAATTATTTGTCAGTCACTATGCCAAATTATTTAATCTCTAAGAAAAAGTTATTTTCACTCTTTGAAGATGGGTAAACTGATGTGTACAGAAGTGAAGTATTTTGTTCTAGGTGACTCAACAAATGAACAGCAGAACATGATTCTGAACCAATAAAGAGTCATTGGGAGACCCTACTACACAGAATCCGTTCCTTAAATATTCACAACACATTGCCTGTGGGAGTCCAAAGCTAGGAATAAACAGATTTACTAAGCAATTAATTTTGAAACAAAACCATTGACAAAAAGAAGTAAGAGAAAGAAAATTTCTGTTCCACCATAAAACATGTACTTCATCTGTGAAGCTGAGTGAAAAAACTTCACTAGCATAGGTGATTAAATCAGCTGTTCATGCCACAGATAATAGAGACACATCTGATGGTTCTCTGTGAGAGACTTTTGCTTAAACCCATGACTATACTGAGGCTCTGAGAAACTCAACTAATATTGGGAAGACCTGTTGTTCTTATTGTTTCTTGGGCCCGAGG